TTCTCCTTAAATCCTCAATCTGACCTCCCAGAGACAAGGAGTTTTCTCTTCACGGGAATCTGCAGAGGAAATGGGTTTAGATGTTTCTGTGGCCCACAGACGACCTCTGAGCGGTGAAAATGTGACCCAGTTTCTCTTCAACCTTGAGGCGCTGTGTGACCTCGTAAAGACAGGAGGTCAGCATGGTTTCGGTGGTCTCACTCAGCACTGACCAGTGTATATGTGACAAGAGGAACAATTGATTTTTTTTTTTCTCCTTGAATCAAATTAGTAATGCTTTAACACGTCTGTTGCACATGAGCAGCATGACTCTCGTTTCAATGGTGTATGTGTCTGCTCACTTAACTGATTTAAGGAAAAAAGTTGGACTCTGCAGCACATCACAGCTGAGGTTCTGTACGATATGGAAACGTTTAAATTGTGTAGCTAACTCATACGTGCATGTGTGTCTCTTAAGAGTAAAACAGTGTGGAGTGAATATTGAACAGTGGCTCAGACGGTAGCTGAACCCACAGTTGAAACACATCATTTAGTAACTATACTGTCTAGTGTTGACGCAGGCATATGTCTCATGGGTTTGCCAGGAAGTGGAGGTGGCAACAAGTGGCTGCCAGGTTTAGACCAGTCAACAAAGCAAAATACAGAAAGGTGATTAAAACTTTTATGTATGGTTTGATTTATTTACCTCAGTTGTGCCTTAGTTTCATTTCAAAAACTACAAGTAACCGATCGAATGAGAAAGTGGAAAACAAGTTGACAATGTTATCTATACTGCTTAATTTAGCAGCTGTATAGTTTTGTCATTAACAAAGTAGCCAAAGCAAATCATTAACTCTGCAGCAGTTTGTAAGATTCTGATAGCTCAGAATAGGCAGTATATAGCTAGTTTAAAATCAAATGTAAAATATGTTTAAAAAAAAAAATAGTCCCACCACATCAGGATTTTTATATTTTTGTATTTTACAGAACTAAGATTTGTTTTTAAATTGCAAGAGTTTGATCTGTTCGGTTCTAAAATAAATTATGTCAGACATTCAGACCAGTGCCCATACTTTGCACAAAAAGGATTAATTGAATTGAATTTAATACTATTCTATTTTGATTTGTTTTGTTTTATTTTATTTCTAGTCATAGCATTTCACCCATGGTTCTCTTTTCCATATTGTCTCTATCACTGGATGCTAAACAAAATCTGTCAACCAAAATATTTGACATTTGAATTTATTTGTTGGGATTTTTTTAATTTAAAAAAAAAACATTGTTGAGAAAAAGTCCAGCTATATTCTGTGAGCCTGAATATGACTTTGACCTGTTCTACCCTATCTCCCCGGAAACGTTTTTAGATCACATTTTATTATGTTAATCATGTTTTTGTTTTTTTATTAGTTCCTTTTTTTCCATCCAAATTGCTTGAACAAAGTTTCTATAATATGCAAGATATAGTGAGACTGTACATTGAGATATTTGAGCCCAGTCTGAGGGTCTGTGTTAAAAGCCCTGATGTTTGACTACTGTTAAAAAGTGAGAAATGATAATAACGTTTACTGCAATTTCCATTCACAGAATGATGAAACATTCATGTATGAGTTTCTATTTTTGCTAAATAACCAAGAGATTCCCACAGCGCCTCTGGTTTGGCTGCAGCTGAGGCCAAATGTCTATGGTGGTTGCAGCAGACAGACCTCAGTGTGGGGAGACTGGGTTGCGTGTGTCCCTGTGTGTGTTTGCTTGCATGTGCATTTACTTCAAACTGTCAGTGAATCCGCTTCTTACACTAAAGACGCACAAATGAATGAATCAATTATTAAATGGTAAATGTGAATTGAACTTAGCCTGATTATCTATATTTCTCCTTTAAAGAGGTTGAAAGCCATCATTTCTGTTTGAAGATGAAATGAGGATTTATGTTGTACTGATTTCTGACTGAATGTTGAGTGAGTGTGGAACTTTTGCCAAATGTATTACCTCTATCCTCCAAATCTTTACCTCCACCAGGACACTTAAAAAATATATTCTATGTCTGTTTCTTAAAGTTACTGTGTTACTGTGCTCTGGAACAGAGAACATTTTCCCTTCAAATCCCAGCATTAATCAGACTTAAGAGCTTTCACTGTGTGTTCGTTGTACAAGTTTATTCATGAAGATTAACCCCATCTCATTTGCCGAACATCAATACAAAACAAACAACAGAAAAAAACAAGGGAACAATTGTCATTTCAACAACTCCGACATCACACAAACATCATATTGATAAATGCAGTGGCAAACACAACCACTTGATGGCCACAGAGAGGCCAAGAACAAATACTTGCTATGTACAAAATAAAAGAGAATAGAAACATGTCTATATATGCATGTAAATATTTGACTTACATGATACATGCATGTATGTAAACACATGAATCACATACAGGGTTTTGTATATTGTGAGAAGGCATTAAATCATCTGAAACATGTGCAATCTATCTCCAAATAAGAGACTTTCTGTTTGATTACAAATTATCACATTCTAATGGAGCATTTGACATAAATGCTGTTTATACAACTGTTTTTTGTCTGACTGTAAAGATAGGAAAGAGTTGCTTTGTAGAATGCCTCAACTGATATATTCAGGAATATGGTACTGAAGCTTATCTAGGTAATGAGGATAGTTCAAATCTACACATGTCTGTCTTACGTTGAGTGAATGTCAGTAGTACATTAATCAGTGATGTGTGTCGGGACATGCAAGAACAAACATATGCACAGTATTGTATGCCGCATTCTGCACTGGTTCCAAACAAAGTTTGTAATTAATGTGATCAATATGATGTTTAGTCATATGTTCTGAATTAAGCCATAAACCTGAATGTTCAACCAAGTACCGTACTTACATACTAATTTTAAATTATTCCATTTTGTTTTAAGGCACTACAAGCAAAGACCATAATGTAGGATTTAGTTTTTTATAGAGCCATAGTTTATTAGATAAGTACCAGTTTTGTGAGGTATTGAAGTATTGGACCAAAGAGCAGTTTAGATTTGCAATAAATAGGAATTTCAAGTATAAATGATAGTTCCATCTGTATAAAGTTAGATAGATGTTTTAGAGTACCGGGGCAATCAACAATAAAAATAGATAAAAGCATTGGACCAAGCATTGAACCCTGGGGTACACCTCTTTGTTGAACAAATAAATCAGATCTCCCTTGAAGAGCAACACATTGTTTTCGTTCATATAAATACAAAAACAATGCAATTTTAGATAGACCAACTCAATAAGCACAAAGCTTATCCATGAGTTGGAACAAAAGCAAAAGCCTGCTTGATATCATTAGAAATAGCCCATATAAAATTACCTGAACCAGATGCTGAAAGCACATCATGTTTCACAAGAGCAGTGTATTGAACGACTAGATGGAAATCCAGACTGAAAATGTGAAAGGATGTTATTAGTCATGTCATACAGATAACTGCTTGAAAAATCTTTTTGGATGGAATATTATTGAAGCTGCCAGTTTGGGGGGAAAAATCATGAATTAAATCAGATCAGACAGAAGAAAAATGTCAACCTGGACGAGAGTGTCATGAACTATTATAATGCTGTTCTAACACGGTTTGGAATTTTTTTAAAAATGAGAAAAATTCAGATTTCGCTTTGCATGTTAAGATCTTACAGATACCTGTACCACTTCCTGTCAGATATATATATCCTAAGCCTTGTCTAAAGACACCTTTATGTTCTTTACTTAATCAGGGTAGTTTTGATTGAGCATGTCTATAAATACTTGAATTAATAAACAAAGTAAGAAAATCAAGACATTCTAAACATTGGTTATAATTGATACATATCCATATTATTAGTTCATTCATGATTTGATCTATGTCACTTGTTTTATGTTCAAATTATTTGGGTTTTCATCTTCCATACATATTAAATAACTGAGAGGCTGATCACCCCATATAAATATATACACACACACACATGTTGGGGGAGTTTTTTTAATTTTTTTAAATCACCCATTATTATCATTACTCAAATTTTCAGGACATTCCAGCCAAACAGGGGTGTACAACAGGATAGACAGAGCAGACGATTGTCTGGGGCCAGTGAAAGGGCCCCCAGGAACAGGCTTAATATGTAAGTCGACTGTTTTGTGAGAGCCTCCCTAAATTTTGGAACCCTCCAACAAGACCCAATATAACCTCTCTTTTGACGACTAGAACATTTAAATGCTAGTGTGTGATGTCCATGGGGTGGTGGTGGGGGTTATTATTATTTGCATGCATGCACATGATGTACTTTTTAAATAATTTAAAAAATAAAAGAATTGTTTTAAAATTGCAAAAATGTGGTTTGGTATTTTATTTCCTTCTTTATTTTTCCCTTTCAGGGAGGGTGTTGGAGCGCGCCCCTGGTCCCTTTTGTCGTGGCCCCCAAAGTATCTTGAAACACCCCTGCTACGACATGAAGCAGTCATTCAAAGATAAAGAAAAATGCATTCAAAGAATCTAAGCGTTCAGATAAATTGCATTGCAAGAAAACAGTCAAGTACAAAAACTTATAATAACTGGAAATACAGCAGGAAACACAGCAGGTTTTACAACCGGATGTAAACACAAATCATTTCGTGGCAGATAATTTAAACACTCCAGTGAGATAGTCATTCATACAGTAAAGACATTGGCCTCTGTTAAGAGAAATAAAGTGGAAACATTAGGCCTTTATCAAGCTGTGTCAACATAATATCAGCAAACGCTCTTCTGATTAAATGCTGCTTGACTTTAAGGTTAAGTGATCAACCGAAAAGCTGGAGGCACCATAATGTCCCGCCGCCTCCTAATGTTCAAGCCAAGTGTGGAGACACCTCAGCAGCTGGGTGACAGGTGGACAGGTTGGGTTCGCCATCCAGAGAGAGGTTTTTATGTTAAGTTCTCTGAGTCTCTGTTCTCTCCGCGGCGATATGGAGGACGGTCACTTTATCCTGAAAACTGAGGAGTTTAAAGGTCTTGGACCAGATGTACCATGCAGTGTGAAGGAGAGCGGGGGTCCGCTCAGCTTGCAGCCGTAGTGGAGAAGTTTTCTTGCCCACGGAGCTGCGGGATTAACTGGGACACGAAGCACCGTGACTCTCCTGAATATTGCGAATCAGGTGAGCACTTTCTTTACTAAATCCGCTGGTCTGAGTCAAGACAGCCTGCAGATTATCCTCATTTGTCCCGTTCTCTAGGAGCATCCAATAATATCTGAATGGTATTTTGTTGTTGGGATCCACGTTTGAGTCAAGATGAGAGGGCATGTCTGTCTTGATCAGTCGCTTCCCATCCCAGAGAGTTTGTGGAGGTCCAGTGCAATTTAAAGACACGTGGAAACCCTCACTGTGCCAGGTATTAGTCTGATTCTCAAACCACACGTGCAACAAAGCCCGTGTCGCTGCCACCACGTTGTTCTGATCGCTTTGAGTTTAATCATCACTGTCACACATTATAAACTCCTGTTCCACTGCGCTCTGGAAGATCCTGGCGTTGTTTACAGGTTTAAATGTATTAACGGGCTCCTCCCTCCTGCTGTTACAGCTAATAGCATCCAACTCATCTTTATATGAGCACAAAGCAAAGTAATTACAAACAATATCACGTCTTGGATTAAAGTGCCTTCCAGGTCTGCAGGGGTTTCTATATGTTTGAATATTTAAGACTGAAAATATAACAATTTCATCTTCTACTCAAAATATTAAAGATTCAAAAACATCTTAATCCGCTGATAAAAACTGTGGGGGTGTGGATGAAAAGTTGTACTGGAAATTAGTGAGTTGAATATTATGTATTTGGTTTTTTTATGACATTATATTTTAATGTTTTGCACAAAAATGTGCAACGGTGCGTCATTATCTGGATTTGTGGCACAAAATGAGACAAGACCCGTTACCAGACATCTCCATCTCTTTATATCAAAACAAAGTAAGGGTGAAACCAAAAAACTGATGGACATTTTTTTTTCATTTTGTTCTCCATCACCACGTCACTATCAATAAAATACATATAAATAATGAATAATGTTTATACACAAACATATATGTAATAACATACAAACATAGTTGCTTGTGGGAGTCCTCGGCAGCCAGGAAACCTAAATAGGACCATGCACAAAGTGGTGGGTGTTGTAACAGGTCCTGATGTCTTTATTGCGCAAATGAAAAGGCCGGAAACCCCAATAAAAGCAGAAAAGAAGCAGCAGACACACAAAGCAACCGAGTGATCAGAGGGTCAAGCGATCCTGTGCTGCTGCTTTATTTTCTGTTAATCTTTAACTCGGAACATCAGTGTAGAGGAAGCGTTGGATCCGCGTCTCCTGCTCTCCAGACACTGTGCGATCTGGGAACGTCACATGTGGGCTACTCGAGGTTTAAAATCAAGTTTTCTGGGTCTAAATAACATATGGAGGACATCTGCGTGGTTCCGTTAAGACGTCAGTGTTTTTTGTCCTGTTGAAATCAGTTTGTACAGACACTTCTTATTTTTCGCCTAAATTCTAAATGTAAAATGGATGTTTTCTATTACGGACAGAAGACAATATGGAAAACAGGTCAGCTTTATTTCTAGTCTGTCAAATGTGTACAATTTGAACTTTTGGATCATATGTGTAAAATTACATCTTTTGGATGTGTGAAATTTAAAAAGGGGTCAAATGTGTCAAATTACGTCTTTTGGATGTGTGGAATTTAATATGGGTTCATATGTGTAATACTTGATCCTTTGGATCTTACGCGTAAAATTGGATCATAACGATCATATGTGTACGATTGGATCTCTTTGGTCATATGTGTAAAATGTGATATTTTGGACAGTTATCTGAAGCTGTATCTGGTTTTTGACTGTTCTGTCCTTTGTTATCCGACATTTGGAAAATGGATATAAGAGGCCAAGAGGAGAAAACAGCTTTCCCTCCTCTCCCTCAGGTGTGTTCTCACTTCTCTTGTATGATGCGAGAATTGTTTTTCTGTCGCATTGAGAGGGGAAGTTTACAAAACGTTTTAAAAAAGAAAAAAAAAACTGAGCCTGCGGCCCCGGGCCCGCAGGCTGTTAAAACGGTGACGCGTTGCCGCATTGCGAAATCGCTTTTACGCACGACGTTTCGAGGCCCACAGCAGCAGAGGATTGGCGGCCCGACTATGCAGGTGAAGCTGTTGTGTCTGCAGATCATGATCTGGTTTGAATTCAACCTGTTTACCTCAGACAGCGCATTAGAGATGCATTGGTAGACACTTTACCATGGAACATGTCTGAACATCTGAACCTCAACAAGTATAGGCGAACGGTAAAAAAAAATATTTACCTGTTTCCATCACTGAAATCCGGCAATCTCCCCTTCACCGTGCACACAGCGACCACCACCTTCGCTCTGGTTTTGTGTATTGGTGGAGCATTCATCCTGGAGCTGCTAAGATACAAAAAACTTTTTACCGCATCTACGTCTCAGACAATACTGAGGCTCATACCAGACGCTGTCGCCGTACAACACACCAACAGCGCTTCACAATCGAGACGGTTTTCTTGTTGATGTGGTATGAAAGTGTTTTATAAATATATTATATGTATGATAAGTTTAAAATCTCTAATGGACACTAGAACGTAGAATACTTCATAGTGGAATAAACACAGAATTTTGCTCTTCTCGCCAAACTCCGACACGTTACTATGTTAAATTGTATCTGGTCTTCACTGGGGGTTTGTCTTATTTAAAAATGAATGAAATACTTTTGGAAACAGATTCATCTCTGACGTGGTTCATTCCCACATGACTCCGGCATAAGCACATAAATAAAGCAATCTGTTTTCAACGCACTGTTGCCTTCTAACAGCACGAAGAGGGGCATTAACAAAGGCACGGATATTAATAAAATAGGAAGGAAATCTTCGTTGCTGTGGTGCGTTTGATTCTTTGGGAGCTGCCTGCCCGCTTGCTGGTTTTCAGAGGGGCGGATGAGGGAGAAAATGGCGACGGAGAGAATGAGAGAAAAGAGAGAGAAGGACCGCACCAAGAAGAAACGCAATAAATTCCTTGTTGTTTTTATGAAAATTTACAACTTTGTGATACAAGTTTATGAGTGGCCGCGCGCGGGGATTGGCCGACGGGCTGGTCATGTGGACGCGCTTAACGTGAACATGAACTTTTTATGATTTCCCAAGCGGCTATATTGCTGCTGCACTCCGCTCCGGCCCGAACAGCCGCCGCTGCTGCTCCCGCTCCGAACACTCTGCCCGGGGCTCTCGAGGCGCCGCGCGTAACCGGAGGAAACGAACGGCCCGGCGATAATTACACGGACTGGTTAATGAGAAGTCTACATGTGACTATGGAAACCGGCACGGGGAGACGTTGACAACAACCCGTCCAGCCGCACCCCCCCTCCCTGTCAGCCTCACGTCCCTACATCCCTCCTCCACCCGCCCTCCTCCTCCTCTTCTTGCTCTTCCTCCTCGCTATGGCTCCGTGCTCCATCTGGTCTCGTGCTGCTGTTTTACGCTATACCGGGGGTGGGGGGTGACCGAGATGGGGGACGGCTCCGACTGCGATGAAAGGAAGAGGGGCTGAGCCGCGAGGTCGAACCCGGGAACACCATCCCGGATGAAACCGTTTTTTTTAAATTGGCATTTTGTTTAATTTGTCACTTGTCACCGCGAGGATGGTGGTGACGCGGTGATGAAGATGACGACGGTGTTTTGACGACTGAGTGACAACGGGGGAATGCACACACACACACCCTCCCCCCTCGTCCTCACCTCCTCGCGCCGCCACCCCTTCCATCTAATTACCATCCATCCATCCGGTCTGCACACGGTAGGGCTGTCTCGTGCCATTCCGGGGGTGCCTGGGCTGCCTTGCACGCGGGACGCCGAGGTGAACTGCAGGTGCGCGGGGCTCGTGACGGATTATCAACAAACGGTAAGAGCCGCTCATGCACGTTCCTCCTCTGGCAGCTGCCCACGCGCGCGCTGCCCAGACCACGCATTCTATACAGGAGCAAAAAAAAAAAGTAAAAATTGTGGAGCTGTGCGTGATTGTGCTGCGTCTCCTCAGTGTAGTGCATGGACGCTACAGATGAGCTGTGACTCTTCCTTCGATGCATCGGGCTGCATGATGAATTAGCCCGTCTGCATGAACTGACTCTCTCTCTCTCTAAGTGGTGGGATTAGCTGTGAGAGAGACGTCCAAGGCTTCAAACTCGTCTCCTGGAGATCCGGGAGATTAGCTCACGTCTTCCTATGTTGTGCCCCAAGCCGTGCAGGGGCTGTAGGAAGGGAGGGTTTGGACATGATGGTCATGAGCTCGTAGCTGGCTTTGATGTGAGGGCAGGTGTGCCGTGTACTTTTAAAACATGCTGTCTTTAAACCATATCTTATTTTGGTTTCTGTTTGAAAGAATAGAGACATTGGTTCATGTATGTCACCGGTTGCTTCTTATCTGATGTGTTCAGCAGACGTCAGGTGAAGTAGCAGAGAAGTTGTGCTTGTGTGTCTCCTTTTGTGCGCTCATGTGTTATTTTAATTGCTCCACTTCCAGATCTCAGTGGAGAAGCTTCCAGGTTCTTTCAGCTGATTGACAGGCCTGTGTGTGTGTGTGTGTGTGTGTGTGTGTGTGTGTGTGTTTGTTCAGACACAAGAATGTTTTCAGTCTTGGTTCGTCCAGCCCACTTTTATGACTTTGTTTCCCTTCTCATTTCCTCCCTGCGGCGCACAGCCTGTTTTTTTCTCTCTTTCCCTACAGCTAATATAGCCAGGAACCCCCACACACACGCACACACACACAGACACACACACACGTACACACATTGCAGGTCTGTCTGTCTTCTACGGTCTCCAATTTGTCGCTGTCTCAAATATCAAACACTTCTAGGGGAGGGGATCCCTTTATCCTAAACACGCATGCACATGTTGGTCTTACTGTAGTTGTGAGGACTCTCATTGTCATTATATACATTCCCCACAATCCCTCACTCCAACCTCAACCAGGTCAGCTAAATCTAAGCCAACCCTCCAGCTAAACCTAACTGTACACATAACCTAAAAGAAAAAACATTAAATCTCAATGCAGGACTGGAACAAAAGACGTTGTAAGATTTTTACAACACGGTTGTGGTCACCTTTGTTCGTT